GGTATGTCCCATCAGATACACTATTTTAAACCTCTTTAGAGAAGCTCGTTAGCCAGCCCGTGGCACAAAAATTCCCAATGACGGATGTTCGTGGTCCGCGAATCCCGGATCTAACCCCCAAAGGCTACTTTAGTGAGAGAGAAAGGAGGCGTTTTCACGAGCCATCTGGCTCGAACGAAAACCGCAATATGAGGTCAATTTAACCGCACAAGTGTGGAATCCGTTACGAGAATTGTATAACTCAAAGTTCTCGAGAATATTCAGTAACGATGTATCACACTATGTCAATGGAGTATGTTTGTGTAGCATATTATCGACCGTATATCACTGCCCATATATTACCACCTCCCCATACATCATTTTCCACATTGCAAACACAATCAGTTTGAACTGAACAACACCAATAGAGTTATAACACTTGAGCCATGTATCGAACACAGGCCATCCACAACATTCCGCGCTGGAGCGTTGGAGTCTCCAGCATGAGATAGATGCTCTAGGAAAATGAAGCATGTGCAACCAAAGACACCAGTTGAATACAAAAATATGAAATTCATTACACCAGAGCGTGAGTTCGCATATACCATGGAACATGTCATGCCCATGCATTACTGTACCACTAATAGGCGAAGATCTCAGAACCCGATTCATCGAATCAATCTCCTATCTCCCGTAAAACTGCTCTGACGATACTTTTGCGCGCGCCATACGTACGCATCAACATGTGGATCCGAACATTTCAAGACCAATCTCTGGTCACAGGATTTCAGTTTCAACCATACTTGAGAGGACACCCATTAGCGTAGAGATCTATGTGTACACGGATAATCAGCCGATTTCCACGGGCCATTTAAATTTAGCTTTTTCATTTGCAGCCCTATTCAATAGGCAGGTCGCACCTGCGCGATTGCGTGAAAGGTTTGGGCGCGCTCTCTCAGGGGCCCCCACCCCTGGCGCGCGCTGATGCCATCATAGCATATGTTGAAGCTTTGGGCAAAGCAGGTGCCCAATACCAAGATCGAACAAAGAGATTCTTTAGCGGTTTGGTATATGCACGCGTCACGCTGGTCACGTGCTAGGGAAACAGGTGTCTCAGGAACCTCTTGACGTAGGGGGGATATCTCGGCAGTACCTTCCAAGTTGGACAAGCCGCACACTCCCTACAACCAGAATTTGGGTGAACAGTGTTCACTGAGCAAAGCAGAAGGCCAGACCGAACCACCAAACTGAATTTTGCGTCCCGTGAAACATAAACGGCGTGAAACCGTAGGCAGGGCCGCAAACTGTGGTGAGGTCTATAAGCCTGTAGTACAGGCCCTGTACAGCGCGATGATCGCGAGTCACGGAGCTAAACGCCGACTCGCCCGTTTCCTCCACGGTGGTGTGGGAAGGTAGGCTGGAAATGAAGTTCACAGCCGCAGGCCGAGGTCAAATTACTAATGAGGAAAGATTGAGAAGACACGCGCGAGATCTACTGGGCGTCGCAACAGCCATGTGCTCAATGTCAATGTTGGCCGGTTCCTGAGCGCCATCGCAATGGGCTCCAAGGATCTTCCGCAGTAGGCCATTAGGGACCGTCGTTGCCGCAGCCGCTGCGGCGCAGCGGCAAGCCAACTAACTTTGTGTACTGCGTACACATCATCGAGATGGCGCTGCGAACAATAGGACACTGAGACCTGCCAGCAATCTATCATTGCATCGATCGCAACCTACGTGTATTGCACGTCTACACTCACGCTCTATACAGGTACCACGTCACAGTGCTGATGAGATTCCTGCAGGTTTACTCAGCAACACATTGAATGGGTATGGCCGTCATTTTATGACGTGAATCAAGATAGGCCTGCTGGTAGAAGAGTGAGAAACTCTTTGCAGGTTTATGCAGGAATTAATCTCAACATTGCTGCTCCGAACGAAGGTCTCGCAAGATGTCAGCGATCCTGCGCTGTTGTGCTTCGAATCGAAGCACAACAGCGGATCGTGTGACGATATCGGATATCGTCAAGTGTGGTCGAGAGACACTCCGTCTGCCCCTCATAACTCTGATCATGAAAAGGTCTACTCAAAGAGCTGTCACGATGAGATAGGCAAAATCAACATCCAGATACGTCTAGACGAAATATCTTTTCCCGACAATGGTCCGTCGAGCGAG